CCCACCCACCCACCCACCCCGGCAGCCCAACGCTCCCAACTCGGCACCCCCTTCGGCCCGGCCCACTCCTCGCCCTGACCGGTCATGGGCTCTTCCAGGCCATCGCGTGCTTGATGGACATGAACGCGCTGCTGGACCGATTCCATAACTACATCCTCCCGCACCTGCGGGGCGAGGACCGCGTCTGCCACTGCAACTGTGGCCGGTGAGTGCGCCCCGGCTCTAGGCACTACACGCGCGATCACACTTGTGCAGCGGGCCCTACTCTGCCGGTGAGCCCGGAGCAGGCTGGGCCGCAGAGCCTAGCTGAATGGTGGGGCCCGCTTCTGCCTGCCAGGTGCTGGGGGAGGGGTTGCCAACGGGAACCCCAGATCAGCCAGCTGCCTCCCTGGGAAAGGAAGCATGACTGAGTCTGTTAGGAACCCCTTCCTCCAGTTCCCTTAGAGAAACGGCTGCCTGGTGGTGGCATTATGGGCCATGGAGCCTCCTGGTTCAGGGCCTGGAGGCCTGGAAGCAGCAGCTCTGAGTAAGTGCCCACAGTGGAAGCAAGGAAGCTGGTTAAGCCTGGGACAGTAGTCTTGCCTATGGCCCAAGTCTTCCTCCTGGGTCTACTGTGCCCATGGCAGGCAAGTGCAGGAGGACAAGATAGAAAGGGCCTACCTTGAGGAACACCTGCCACAACTGATCATTGTGCAGAGGAAGAGCTGAAGTAGGCTGAGGTTTGTTCAAGGTCACAATGAGACCCACCACACCCTCAGGGACCTCCCCTTCTGTGCATGTGTAGTGATGGAGTCTTCTGGCCTTGCATGTTTGTATGTCCATGTATGAAATAAACATCTTCTCATGAGCCGCGCATGTGTGTACTGTCTGTGCATATACATGTGCGTACACAGCGCACTCGCACATCCGCATGCACTCATTCCAGAGATGCCCTCATGCGATAACCGTTGTCCCTACTGGACAGACTAGGAAGAAGTGAATGGAGATTTTAGAGGGTAGACTTGCTCAAGGTTACACTAGGGAAGACTTGAGCTAGAACCACAGACCCTCGGTTCCCTGCCACACCCTACTCTTCTGCTCCAGAGGTCTGCAGACACACAGTAGGTCACGACAGCTGCATGTCTCCTAAGTGCACATATGGCTATGGGTACAGTCAAGTGTGCTGCAAATCATGGGCATTACAGCACGTAGAAAGGGGATGCGTGGGACATGGTAGGGAAAGTTGCTGTGTGGCCACACATTCCCAGAGAGCCCTGTGCTCCATCTTGGTGCACACCATCTGTACCTCTGATACATCAGAGGGGTCAGAAAAGACTTGAGATCAGCTCTGCTGTTCCCAGACCATGTCTGTATTGTGTTCTGAAGCCTTCCCAAGACAGAATCCACGTCCTGGGCCCAGTCATTGGGCCCGTGAACACTGGAAATGGATACTACATATGGGGGCTGTTAAAACGTGGTTGGTTCAGCGCTGTCCAAGACAGCACACTGAATGGTTTACCTGAGCACAGAGGGTGTGTTCTTAGAGTCCATTTATACAGGTTATATATGTGCATCTCATGTAGCATCCAGAGTACTTGTGGACTCATGTAAACAGACACCTGTAGAGTGGAGCCTGAAGAAAGGCCTGTGTGTGCAAAAATGTGGAGAGCCACATCCTTCTGTGGACAGTGTTTCTGCGTGTGTCTCTCTACATGTATGTGCTTTGTACACAACTCTACATACAGGGTATGTAAATTCGTTGTACAAAGTACTTTTGTATATTGATTACATATATGTGTATTCAAAGTACATGTATATAAAACAATATACAGTTCAGTGTGCTCAGGGAAAATGTCAGAACATCTCAGTGTGGGTGAAGTGACTGCAGATTAGTTTGCAAATGGGATATCTGTGCACATACCATGTACACATGTGGTGTTGACAGTTTGCCTATGTGTACATACTTTGCAGAATAACTGTACACATGTGTCTGCCTTATACATGGCTATTTGCAGAATTATGGACAGAGAACATGTATGTAAACTAATGTTCTGAACAAAGCACATCAGCAGGCAACATTTGTGTGTACACACAGATCCATGCACATGACACAGAGTGGGGTGGCTGGTTCAAAGCTGAGTGAATGTGCATCTATGTGTGACGCACCATGCTCATACCCAAAGTGTGCACAGTGCATGGGTGTGGGGCTTGTGGGACCCGTGTCCATAGTATACACGCCTGTCCTGTGCATGCGGACAACGTGTATACCGGACACACATTGACCTCAAGTGAACACAAGGCAGCATGTGTCATGGAGGTAGGACACATGTATGTACATAGCAGACATTCATTTGTACACAGCACATCCTGCTTTCTTGCAGAAGACCTAAGCCCCTGTCTTCAGGGGCTCGGTGTGGGGTTAGGAGTCAGGCCAGGGGAGGAATTGTAGATACCCAAGTTAACTGTAAGGACACAGGTCATAACCTCTAACTCCTGGATTCCTGAGGCCTCAGGTTGGCTGGGGCCTCACCTTGGCCAACTTGTAGGCTACCTAGGGTCCTTCTTGCTTCCCTGATAGGTTCTTTGTGTATCCTTTCCTGGAAGTATATGTTGGAGACAGTCTAGAGGAAGAATGTGGGGACCTAGGCTGACCCAATCCCAACAGAGCCTGTGACAATCCCTGGTGGTCTGGAAGCACTACTCCTCCATGGCCTGGAGCAGCCATACTTTCTCTGCCAGGATCAATAGCATCCATCCATCATGATGATGGACAGTGGCTGCGCATGAGCAGATGAGTGATAGGTGCTAGGTGTCTCAGTTATGGTAGCTCCAGTAACCAACTAAGGGCTAGCAGCCTAAGCTTTGCCTGCTGGGACTGGCCAAACTGTAGACCAGTTAGCCCTTGGGGTTCCTAGGAAGATCAGAAGAGGATCTGAGGAGTGTCCCTGCTGCCCCTCCCTGCTCACCAACCCCACTATGAGGAAGCATCCATGTGGCCCCTATTGGGGTCAGGGACATCAGCAAATGGGCACAAGGGAGGAAGAGTTTGTATCTGGGGAAAGGCTGAGGGTCTACTATAGGCAGACACAGGTTCCAGCCTCTCACTGAGAGGAGGAAGCAGTGCAGGTTTAGGAAGCGAGAAGCTATTTTCAGCATGCATTTGAGGTGTCTGTAGATCCCACGTGGAGACTCAAAGGCAGCTGGAGCTCCTTGCAGACATGGTGGGCAGTGGAAAGAAGGCCCACCCACTAGTGGCTCTGGAAGTGGGTGGGCCAGGAAAGGCAGCCTCATAGCAAAAGCCCAGGCCGCCCTTATACTGTCAGCAAGATGAAAGAGTGTGGTCCCAATGGAACTCTCGGGACCCCGACATCCAGACTGCTGGCTTTGTGGACCATCAGTTGACCCACTACCTAGAATGACAGGATAGAAGGACTTTCTGGAAGTGGTGTTGAGACATCTCTGAAAGGGGGATGAGCAGCCAGTGGGAACCACACTGGAACTCCAGGGCAAGCTGAGATGACCTAGGGCATGAAAGCAATGGACAGTTCCAAGAAGCCTAGGACAGGGAGGCAAACAGGCACAGTGTGGCTGAGGCACAAAGAGACTAGGGCCATAATGGGTGGTGCTTATACTCAGAAGGCTCTAAAACCTGTCCAGCATGGACCCGAATAGCTGAAAACGGCCCATTATAAGAACAGTAAGTGGATGATAGACATGTGGGTCTGTGGTGGACATGAGTGAGGAAAGACTCCCAAAACCTCCAGCAAAATGGGTAGGAGGTAGATTTTGAAAGCCATAGGCCCAAGGCAGGGATTGTGGAAGAAAAAGAGCAAATGCTATTCCTGTGGGTGGCCTCCCGAGAGCAGTATGTAAAGGGCAAGAGGCATATCTGGTGGGCCCGGGTCATTTGGCTGTGCTAGGACCTTGGCAGACCCTCAGGGCCAGTAGGTGAATGTGAACCCTGCTACAGGACTTTTGGAAGGATGGCATATTGGGTGGAGCATTCATCCCAGCCATTCCTGCTCTCCTTGAACTCACTCCTTATCTCCAGGGCTACAGTCTCCACCTGTCCCAGCAGTTTTGCCAGGTGACCTTATCTGTGCCTGGGGGTGCCCCTCCCAACCCAGCACACACAGGGATTGCTTCAGAGAACTTCCCAGGGTGGCCCATAGGAGTCAAGCCATTCATTTTGGGTCCCCTAACCAGCCCAGCACGGACCTGGGGAAGGCTGGGCCAGGGTTGGCAGGAGAGGTGCCAGCCCACCCTGCCGCCCCCAGGCACCACATCCACTACGTGATCCCATACGACGGGGACCAGTCGGTGGTGGACGCATCTGAGAACTACTTTGTGACAGACAATGTGACCAAGCAGGAGATCGACCTTATGCTGGGGCTGCTTCTGGGCTTCTGCATCAGCTGGTTCCTGGTGTGGATGGATGGTGTCCTGCACTGTGCTGTGCGCGCCTGGAGGGCTGGTCGGCGCTATGGTGAGTGCCACGCGCTGCTGCGGGCACCACTTCTGGCCCAGCCCGGCCACCTGACTGCCCTGTCCCCCTGCAGATGGCTCGTGGACCTGGCTGCCCAAGCTGTGCAGCCTGCGGGAGCTGGGCCGGCGGCCGCACAGGCCCTTCGAGGAGCCCACAGGGAACATGGTGCACGTGAAGCAGAAGCTCTACCACAACGGCCACCCCAGCCCACGGCACCTGTGAGTGCACAGGACTCGGGGCTGCTGTGCACATGTAAAGGGACCTCGTGGACGCTCAGCTGGCAAGACGGGACTGCGGCCTCAGGCCCAGGGTATGCTGGGCTGTGGCCAGCTGGGCTGTGGCCAGCAGGCAAATCCAGTGGAAGGTGCTGTCTCTTCTTTTTATAAAGGGGGTCGGGTGGGGGCTGGGGTCGGGATGGCCACTGGGCTTCAGGGACAGCAACCTGGTTTCCACAGTGAGCAGGACACAAAGGCAGGCTTTTAGAGGTGCTGGGGCCAAGGGTGGTGGGTTCACAATGGGGACAGACATGGCCTGGGTCATGCTAGCCTAAGGCCACATCTCATTGAAAGCCACTGTTTCCTGTGCACCTGTTGTCCATCCGTCCGTCGTCTGGAGGGGAGGGATGTGTCAGGGCCTGCGCCCATCTGCACACGGGAGCATGTGCATGGGGCGTGTGCGACTGGAGGACTGGAGGGTGGGGACTGGAAGGGCGGGCCCCCAGCAGCAATAAAGATGTGGTGGCCCCAGGTGTCCCAGCCCTCACTGTGAAGCCCACCCTGCCTGGCCAGTAAATTCTCCAGAAAGCTCCAGCCTCTGCTTCTTCCATCATCTCTGATCCCAGGGGCTATTTTGAGGGCTCCATCTAGATCCCCACCTCAGCCAAGAGACAAAAACAGCAAATCAGTCACAGTTTTATTAGATTCTGGATTTAAAAGATCCAGTCAAGGGCAAGGTGGCAGCTCTGAATCCTGCATGCCACCAGCCAGGGGCTGTCTAGCACCAGATCCACTCTTATCAAGTAAGGACTGGGCCAATTCTTGGCACAGATGTATACAGGGCAGGTGCAATGTCCAGGAAGGAGAGGCCGTTCCTGCCTTTAGTCTGGTCCCTGCAGGTCCCAGTCCTGCTGGCACAGCCATAGCTACTGGCCTGTGATACAGCACTCTGCTTCCTCTCTTCTCTGATCTGGGCTTGTAGACAAGTCTCACCAGTGTACTTGGGCGCAGGAAGGCAGTATGCCTTCCTCTGCCAGCACTCACGCAGAGAGAAACAGACTAGGAGGTGTGGGAGCCAGAGAAGCTGACACCACCAGCATCCCACAGCTGGGCAAAGGCGTTCCGGACAGTGTTGGCCTCTTACAGAGGCCAAAGACGACAGGAAAAACGGGAGGAATAGTGTGGTCACAGAGACTGTCTGTCCCCGGTCAGGTGTACAAGGTATCCAGGTCCAGCTCAGCAGTCGAGGAGTCAAGGACACGGTGGCTTGCTCGCCTCAAGATTGGGTCTCTCTACTTTAAGCCACTGCATCTTCTGCTGGTGCTGCTGAACAGCATCCTGGACACGGGCATCCATCATGGCCTCTGTGAGGACCCCATCTTCAGAGGCATATGCCATGGCCTGGTAGGAAAGAGGGCACAGAAGGAGAGGCTGGCTGCTTGCACAGGGAAGCCCAAGGCTTGGTGGGCATCCCTGAGCTTATTAGTGAACTCAGAGCCCCAATCAATGACGTTCTAAACCAGAAAGCCTCAACAGAGCTGTTCCTCCTCCATACACACACACAGGTAACTCCCTCTTAGAAGGACACAAATGTAGAACCTTCATGAGCCCCTAAGTGATTCTGGCTCCATTTCCCAGCTCAGGGAGATACCAGGACACACAGCAACTACTCAGGCTAGCTGTATACTTTATAGCTGTACACTTTACAGGCCTCCAGAACAGGCCTCCTGCTGCTACCAGGCCCCTACCCTCAGGGCATATGATGTTAGTGTAAGGTTTCTCTAATTAGAGCTAAGTGGTACTTTCTGACTAGGCTGCTCCTCTTCATGTCTATTCACACTGGTGAGCACCCCCCTCCCACTTCCTTATCCTTTGTGAGGATGGCATTCCAGAACCAGCCAGTAGGAGTTTGAGCTGGTCAAGTTGTATCCTTTAGACACCATCTCATTGACAATGCACAGGAGGGAACTAGGAGCTAGGATGCCTGAATGCAATGAAGAGAACACTAAAGGCAGAGAATTCCCTCCTTAGGCACTGGGACATATTCTAAAGGAATAGGAGTGCAGAGTCATATATAAGAATTCTGCCAAGACACTGTCACCTGTGAGGAGATGACCATAATATAATGGTACTCAGTCCCCCCTGGATAAGCGGGACCACCTGGAACAGATGTACATAGGGTCCACTGGCCTGTTATGATTCACTGGGGAGGAAGACTTGGCCTTAGAGTCAGACCACCAACTTTGAGAAGTATTTGGAAGCCATGGATACTCTTTCCCAGCTTAAGCTCACCCAAGGCTAAAATTAAAGCAATGTAAGAGCTGCACTGGAGCCCTGGTTGGATGGACAGGGTGGCAGCCCTCTCTAAGTGGCCCAGCAGAGGAGAGGTAGAGCCACTTGGGCTCATCCACCAGCCAGCCTAGTAACTGAGGTCAGATGAAGCACAGTGAAATAGACATTAGGGGCTCATGATGTGGGTATCCTGGGCTTGACCCTGAGCTACAACCAAGCCAAGGTAAGGTAAACGATGCTGTGAAACAGAGCCAACACTCACAAACTAGTAGTGACAAGGGCATGTGTGCCTCTGCTCTATCTTGCAACTTTTCTGTAAATTCAAAACTATTCAAATGTTTTAAATTTAATTAGGTGTTGTGATGCAACTATAGTCCCAGCTACTCAGAAAGCTAAGGCAGGGTTGCTTGACTGTGAAGTTCAAGGCCAGGCTGAGCAATGTAGCAAGATCCCAGCTCAAAAATTAGTAAATAGGGGCTCAGCAATTAAGAGTACTTACTGCTCTTGCAGAAGACCTAGTTCACTCCCCAGCACCAACACTGGGTGGCTCACAACCACTTCTACCTCCAGCTCTGGGGGAATCAATATATTCTCTTTTGTTTTGAGACAGGGTCTCTATATACCTCTGGCTGGCTTGGAACTTGCTATGTAGACTAGGCTGGTTGCATACTAGCTGCCTACTTCTGCCTATGCTAGAATTAAAGGTGTATGCCACCACTCCCAGCCTCATGTCCTTTTCTAGCCTTCGTAGGCACCAGGCATGCATGTAGTGCACATAAATATATGCAGGATGGGGTAGGAGATTTAGCTCAATGGTAGAGCACTTGCCTAGCAAGTGCAAGTTCCTCTGGCTCACACATACAGGAAAAATAAAAATAAATCTGAAAACATTTCAAGAATTAGTCTTGATCCTCCTTAAACCCCCTCAACATATTGAAGGGGAAGCCTCCATACATCACCACTACACTGACATTAAAGCCAGATGCAGGCAGCATTGGAACTTAGTGATCAGCAGTCCTGATGAGCAGGGCTGCAAAGTTCTAGAACCTGAGGCAGAGGTAATGAGAGCTGTAGGCCAGCCCAGTCAAATAGTGAAGCCTATCTCAAACAGAACAAAAAAGCCTAAGCCCAGCCTGATGGGTCACACTGTAATTTCAATACTTGGGAGGCTGAGGCAGGAGAATTGTAAGAGCATTCAAGGCTAGCCTGGGCTACAGAGTGAGACCATGTCTCAACAAACAAAAGGACTCCCTCAACTGCATAACGATAAACTACCTTAACCTTCTCACTTTTTATGACACCAGGGATTAAGACCAGGACTGAAGATATGAGGCAGACACTACCACTGAGCTACATCCCCAGCTTTCATTTCATTTTTAAATTTTAAGATAGGGTCTCACTGTGTTGTCCAGACTGATCTTGAACTTGCAATTCTCCTGGCTTAGCTTCCAAAGTGCTGGGATTACAGGTGTGTGCTGCCATATATTCTACTTGGCAATGGTTTCTTTCTTTCTTTCTTTCTTTCTTTCTTTCTTTCTTTCTTTCTTTCTTTCTTTCTTTCTTTCTTTCTTTCT